AAAAAAAACACAAAAACACACAACTGTATTTTTTTAAAAATTATCCTCTGAACCCTTGCTACAGCGCCGCCCCCCAACCCTGACCCACTTGCGTCGGCTACCAACAATTCGAGGCGCCGTTGAGTGGTCGTGCGTGGGAAAAAATGCTGTTCCCTCAGGTGGTCTTGCCTGCAGCTTATCGATACTTGACTACATCTTGCTTAATATATGAGTAGCCGATTGCCAACGCAATGAATGGTACTCGAGGCTGCCGTCTACACACACAAAAAAAACAACTATACGGCAGGCACACGATTTCAGGCTGTGCAGGTTTTCCTTTATGCAAATCTAATAAACTGAAGAATACAATTTATGTATTAAAAATGTGATAACACCAGTCCCATTGAAATACAGCATGCCCCATTGAAATACAGCATGCCCCAAAACTAGCAGTTCTTAAACTCTCGCATCTTGAGCGCCCACTCGTCAACTGTACATAGCTGCAGCTGCTACGTAACCATAGAAGTGAAAAGGATCATGTGTTGGGCAGTTGTTGTTGTTGAAAATAGGTCTCTCCACGAAGGAAATACTTTTTCACTACGTCTAGAGACCCTTCTGCAACAACTGCCCAACAAATCTTTCTATTTTCACTATTTAGAACACGTAGTGACATGATCTTATGAACCGTTGACAAAATGACCGATTCATATTAGTACCTATAATTTATAGCGACGTGAAATAAAACACACGAATCGCGTGGAGCATTTTTTCAAAGTCTTGTGTGTCACGTGTTTTTGCTGGTGGTTGTTGTTTTAAAAGTTACAACGAAACAATCTACTGTGTTTGTGTCTTAAAGCAAGCATCACCTAGCCCTCCGCGCACCCGGTCTGATTTCAATCGTGTTTACACAAGGCCGGCTTTGTTGAGTCTAAGTGTGGAGAGTTTTGGCAGAGTTTGTCAGTACGTGCAACCTCTGGTTGGAGTATCCACCAATGCGTGCAACGAAGGGCGCAGACGTTAAGAACCATTTTCTGTGCTGGGCCAAGATGTTTCGTGTTGTTTCTAAGCTGTTATAAGTTAATAAGTGGGAGTGTCGGTGGTTCAACTTCTATCTCCTCTGGTTCAACTTCAATTTCTTCATTTATCCGGCAAGCTCAACTCAGACAACTGAGGGCATCTCAGAAGTCAAATTAAAATATATCCAGTAAAAAAAATAATAATAATGAACTCCACCTGTAAGACAAACACCCATACACAATATGTAATTTGTGGTGTCATTCTTTTGCATATCTGAAACATGAAATAACCTCTGTACCAAGCCAGAATCATGCACGTTTTGCCCTTTCCAAAAATTGCCAATTGCTAACTTCAGTCAATTTTCTTAAACACAAATTACTTTGCTTACTTTTTTTTTTTTTTAATGAGATCCAAAGATATACAAAAATACAAAAACAAATTTTAATGTTTCCTACTTCCCATGATTTTGGCATTGGAGAGATGATACAATAAAAAATATAAGAATCATACACCCATACACAATATGTAATTTGTGGTGTCATTCTTTTGCATATCTGAAACATGGAATAACCTCTGTACCAAGCCAGAATCATGCACGTTTTGCCCTTTCCAGAAATTGCCAATTGCTAACTTCAGTCAATTTTCTTAAACACAAATTACTTTGCTTACTTTTTTTTTTTTTAATGAGATCCAAAGATATACAAAAATACAAAAACAAATTTTCATGTTTCCTACTTCCCATGATTTTGGCATTGGAGAGATGATACAATAAAAAATACAAGAATCAATAGACCAATGGGCAATAAGTAATTGATAGTAAGCTACTAGTAATAATATTTGTTTAATGTTTTTGCCTACCACTGGCAAGTTAAGAAAAACAAACTGGGCCTCAAGTACATCAGTGTTATATCTCCAACAACAAAGCCATTGTCTGGCTGTAATTTTACTTTTTGTCCCTTTTAATTTTTTTTTTTTTTGCCTTCAGATTATAATTTTATACCTTAAAGTCTGAGAGCTAAGTATTGAATATTTTTAACCTACCAATACTCTCGACTTAGAAAATATAGACTTTCTGGGGGGTGATTTTGTGTGTGTGTGTTGTTTGTTTTTTGTGTGTGTTTTTTTTTTTTAAAGTTTGGGTGGTTAACATTTTTGTGTTAAACCTTGTCAAGGAAACCAAACCAAGTGTTATATTAATTATGTGAGTTTTTTTTGTTTTTTTTACATACAATATTAGATTGGAGTAGATGATTAAAAATTTTTTAAAGTTCTATAGTAAGCCTCCACACGTTAAATTGATATATAACCAGTTAATGCATTATTTAGAAACAATTCAACCATTAATCTTTCATCAGAATGCAGTCTTCCATATTAAAAGGCACTTAATTATAAATCGAGATTTGAGATGTAATTAAGTTAGATATATATGTTTTATTACTATATTTCACACCAATTTATGAATTATTTATACTTTCTGGGAGACACAGACATATTATTAAACACTTTTTCTTTCAGCCATATTTATATAAATACACACTTACTGACAACTTAGATTGTCCATTTAATTATCCTTTTTTCCACATGATTATCTATTTTATATAAACTAATATCATACCATTAACTTCACAGGCATTTAATTTACTGACAAAAGTTGTGTTTTTTTTCTGATTGTCTGACATGATTTTTTCCCTCAATTTCTTTGACTGATGCCTGACCATACAGATCACCCTATGCAAACAACAGCAATAACAAAATACCAATGCTGGGAACTGATAGGTTAGTTACAAAAACTCTCACTGGAAGGCAGAGTATTTTTTTTTTCTGACTGGTGTCATTATTTTAACTCAATGTTTCTTGTTTTGTCTGATATCTTTTGCTTGTAGATGTGTAAAGACAACAATCCCACTTTATTTGGAGTTTAGATGAGTACTTATTTTGTTCACAGATGGGGGCAGTCACTTGATGACAGGCTCTCTCACCCCACCTGATAAACTCAATGGTGATATTGTTGGGCTGCACTCACCAGGGAGTATAGACATGGCCACCATTACGTCCACCATGCAGGCTCCACCCTCACCACTGCCCACACCTTCGCCTCCCGCCCTCACATCAAACTCCACCAGCTGCAGACAGCCTATGGAAGTGGACACATCGGTTGGTGGGGCCTTGTTCAACAGCAACTCTGTCCTGGGGTAAGTGTTAATTTCTGTGAACAGACATATTGCTAATATTTTCTTCAGTTAGTTATTTAACGTAACCTATTCAAATAGTCCTAATAAGTCAATGCCATTGCATTTATTTAATACTAGCCCACAAAAATAATGGCCACTGCAATGGCCACTTTCCTTCTACAACAGTTATTTGACTGAACATGCATTCAAGAAAAGCACTTTTTAAGAATCTCATTTAGTGCTAATAAACTCCCCCATCCCGGCACACCTCAGCACATTTTTTAAGCCCCTGAACTATATCAATATTCTAATGTCCCACCCGCTTTTACACATATTGATTAAATATTTAATTTGAGACTATTTCTATAAACCAAATAAAAATTAGTCAACAAATTCACTTGCAGTATTTTTAAGTATCTCATAAAGCGTAGTTATAAGGAATTTTATATTGTGCTCTGTTGAATTCACCATTACACCATACCTTCTTTCATGCCTAGAGAAGTATATTGATTGAGATTTCTAAAAGTGTTTTCTTTTTTTGCAGGCAATTCCAGGAGCAAAGACTTACAAGGTATGTGTTTATGCAATCTCAATCTCTTCCTAAATAAACCTTTCTCTTGCTCTTATACTATTGCTATCTGACTAAAGTAATGAATCAAGCCTAATCGAAAGCAAATCTTTCTACTTAATGTTCTATATAATATATATGTATATTAATTTTTTTTTTAAATCAATTAATTTTTTCTTTATTTGCAGCCATATTTATACATACATGTTTAGGACTTCTATTCATTAGGTTTTTTTAACTGATCACACTGACTCTTGCAATTTTGGCGTACAATGTACTATTTTGAGATGTCTTTTACGATTGTACACCAAGCTCTGTCAGAACTACAATCTTAAGAGACCTGGTTGAAAATATACACATTCTGGTAGTTTTTTTTTTCAGATAAAATAAAATATAAATTAAAAGTGCATTTTCGGTGGTTAATTGGGGTGGTTTTTTTTGGAGGGGGGGGGGGGGGGTCTCGGTATAAAGTATGTACATTCTTCAAAAATATTCTACAATATTCATCCTGAAACTCTAATGCTGTAAAGTATCATGCAATCTTTTGTAGGATTTATCATCATAATGCTGCCATGTATTTTCACAAATGAACTGGCTATATTTTCACAAGTTGTAAGGATATTACAGTAATACTTAGTCCACTGTATGTTCAACTTGCATGTGACTTATATTTTGTTGGGCTATGCCAGCGCTTCTAAAAAATTTGTTTCTCGCCACCCCTACCAATTCAGGTTTTCACCAGGCTCTGTGTTATATTCTAACAAGTACACTTCCAAATAAAATAAAATATAGGGTTGGGTAAAAATAAATATAACACGTATGTAGGTCACTAACCGCCATCTACTAACAGCAAACAGTAGTTACTCAAGTGGGTTACTGTTTGCACCAAGACCGAAAGATGTCACATTGGATTAAAAGGGAAAATTCCCCGTGATGAAGCCACAGCAACCCATATAAAAAAAAAGTGTGGTCCCTGCATGGACCAGTAAAAGTATTATTTAACATCCCTTGTCCTTGTGAAGTAAATGGAATTTTATAGTTTAATTCACTGTATTTCCTTTCTAAAGATGATTTTGATTTTGGCACCTTTTGCTCCTGGCCCCATTCTCATGACCCTTCAAAAGGGCAATGAGCATCCAGGGTGATGCAGCTTATAATCTGGGAGTCACTGGGTGCACCTCGGGAAAAAAAACCTGTATCACATAATGTTATAAAGATTATTGGATGTTTTCTTTCTTTTTTTTATTTCAGGGGGGGGGGGGTGCGCGAAAGTTCTGTGTACGTATGCAAGGGGGTTTCTTTAAAAAAGTATGCGTGCAACAAAGGGAGCCTGGGTCATAAAATTAAACTTTTTCTGTTGCATACATACTATATAGATGGCCCCTCCTCACTTTTGTTTGCTTCGATGCAGTTTGACGTAATTTTAAGACATAATTATTTCTTAAGGCTGAATGGGGCAAGAAAATTAGAGAATGCATTCTCAATCGCTCTGTGCAGCAATATTAGATTTCGACATATTTTATAAGATCTGAAGAAGCCTTTGACATCTATTTTTAAAATTCGCAAAACAGCTGTATGATTTTTTAATACACCCCCTTCCCTTCACCCATTTACAGCTTTTGATCTGACTTGGATTTTGAAACACATTAAAATTCACCAGTAACTTTACTTTTATCAGTGACAGACTGTGATAATGTAATATGCACATTCACCTAAATACTAACTGATATCTGTAGCAGATACAAATCTGCAAAACAAAGTAACCGCAGATTGCAATATAAATGTCAGTCATCTACTTTTTACCTTCGGTTAACTTTTTTTGATGTTCGTTTAACTTGATCCCACTAGACAGGGAATGCAAGTAGCTGTTGTATACATTATATATACTGTATGCTTAGTTATTTACTGTTAAGATACACTATTGTACGATTGTGTGATGATATTGTACGAGTTTAAGACTAAACAGGTCTGTAACTCTGGCTTTCGTTCTTGGTATGTGCTAATTTCTCTTGGTAAACAGGTACCTGCTTTGTTATGAAAAGATCACTTTATCACACTGATCAATAATTTTCATTTCAGAGAAGCCATGAGGAATTACCTGAGGAAAAAAGATGACCAGACTCTAGTTATTTTGCATGCCAAAGTTGCACAAAAATCCTATGGTAATGAGAAAAGGTACTGTGCTTTGTTTCTTATTTCTATGGAAAAATAAGGTACACTTTTTTAAAAAACTTATCTAAAATTCAAATTGTAATTTACTTGCTTCATCCTTCCACTCATGCTGATACACCAATTTTAAAACAAATATATTTTATAACTATAAAAAAAAAATGCAATGCAAATTGAATATTTTTTTTTATTTTTTAAAACAGCATTTCTAGTGTAAAAGTTGATGCCACTGATACCTATTATGAAATTGTAAAATTGATGTATAGTTTTTGAAAAGTATAATTATATAACTTTTATAAAAAAAAAATTTTCCCTTGAAGATTCTTTTGCCCCCCTCCCTGCATCTACTTGTTTGGTAGTGGATGGAAAGAAAAGCAAGAGCAGATGGAGAAGGATGGCGCAGCAGAGCAGGACACACAAGTCTGTGCATTCATGGGCATTGGCAACTCTGACCAGGAAATGGTGCAACTCAACCTGGAAGGAAAGGTGGGTGTCTCTCTGTTAACTTTCTTTGCTGCTTCATTAATTTCTGATAGCCCTGTCAACAGTCTTTAGAATATTTTTATACAAGTTCAATTATGATGCTCTGTTGTTATTGTCATAGGTGACTACATCTATAGTAACAGTATTTCATATCAGTTCCAGTACAACACTTCTACATAACTAATTTAGTCTCTTAGCTGCCTGCTTAGTTGTAATCAAGGATGTGGAGGCCTAGTGTTTTTTGAGGTGCTGCTTGGGTGGGAAAGATGAACTGAAATATGTTCAATTATGTAAGATATTTTTCCTAATTATTAAAAGTGTTTTTGAGAGAGAGCCTTTGTATTCCTGTAGGGATGTGTTGTTACTTCATATATGAATGGAAACATAGGTCTTTTTCAAGGTGTATTAAGTTTAAAATTCCTGTTTGCTTCAGAAGTATTGCGCTGCCAAAACCCTGTACATCTCAGATTCTGACAAACGCAAGCACTTCATGCTGACAGTTAAAATGTTTTATGGCAGTGGCCATGACATCGGTGTGTTTCAAAGTAAAAGGATCAAAGTGATATCAAAGCCCTCCAAGAAAAAGCAGTCGCTAAAGAATGCTGATTGTAAGTTGGACTTTTTTTTTTTTTTTCCCTTTCTAAACATTATAGCTTTCCATTAAATCATTTGACATAATATGTCATCACATTTTTCTTATAGTAATGTTACATTTACTCCTTTTTTTCCCAGTATGCATCGCATCAGGCACAAAAGTGGCTTTATTTAATCGTCTTCGTTCTCAAACTGTCAGCACAAGATATCTCCATGTGGAAAATGGAAATTTTCATGCCAGCTCCACTCAGTGGGGTGCATTTACTATCCATTTATGTAAGTAGGTCGTGAACCACAACCCCCTAATGTAACATCATAGGAATTGTAGAAATATATGTAGCATAAACTGCAGAAATGGAAGTACATCAATAATGTTTATTAATTCAGATTAGAAATTTACCTGTAAAAAAATTAAACCTTTAATGTGACCCAATACTGCCTATGTTTTAAAAATATTTTTAAATGGCACTATAAACCAATTTGTTTACAGTTATTATTAATTCATGGTCATCAAAAAATTTCTTGAGATAGAGTTTTTTTTAAAAACCTTTAAACTTCCCTTTTGTTCGTGGCTGGCTAAATCTTCAGACGGCTCATTGACCCACTTCCCGTCAACCTATCAAGCTGAAATTCGGCACATAGACTCGATGCCGATGACAACACATTTTTTTCAAATTTTCAGCCCTATCACCCAGCCCCCAAAAATTTGTTTTTCCTGTTTTTCAATGGGAATAGTAAGGAAATATGATGACACAGATTTTATGAAAGAAAATTTCCGATAACTGCGCTAAATGAGATTCTTTTAAAATATCACAAGTGCATTTGGTGGGTTAAAATTTTCTTTTGTTTTTCTGAAATGGTGAAATAAATCTGTGGTGTAAAAGTGAAGCAGGGGGCGGGGGGGACACGACTAATTGGGATTCATATAAAGTACATTACTTGAATACATGTTTTGTCAACTTTTCAAACCCACCCCCCAATGCTCAGTATTACATTTTATGAAGGATTTATATGAAAAAGTTTTTTTAAATGGGTTTTTTTAAATTTATTAATAAATAATAAAATTATGTTTAACAAAAAATACTTAATAATTAAGCTCTTACTTTTTATTATCATCTGATTCTCATCAGTGGATGACGATGAAGGTGAATCAGAAGAGTTTACTGTCAAAGATGGCTACATACACTATGGGTCTACAGTCAAGCTGGTCTGCTCAGTCACTGGGATGGCCTTACCTCGACTGGTGAGTTTCTTGTTTCTGAAATAAAATTGTCACAAAATTTGCTCTTCTGAAAGATAAATTAGAAAAGAGTGTTAAAAAAAAACCTTCAAGGATCTTATGAGGACTGTTGTCAGTGGCTTCAAGGTTCCCACCCCCCAAAACCCTCTTGGAGTATCATAAGAATAGTTTAGATTGTTTAAAAGTGGAGAAAATGGCCTTATTTTTTGGCTGGCTTTAAGTGGGCTTTTATATCAATTTCTATTTTGAAAGGCATATTCTGAATTAATCTCTTTTAATTTGTTCTGAAGTTATGAAGTAGCATCGAAAATAATTTTGTGGCTAGGGGTCGCCACAGCATGAGGAACTGTATTTAATGGTCGCAGCATTAGGAAGGTTGATAACCACTGCTTTAGATGATTCATAATATTAAAACATCCTGGTCAATCTCCTCAAATACATTTTTAAACAGATAATTCGGAAAGTGGACAAGCAGACATCTCTCTTGGATGCTGATGACCCGGTGTCTCAACTACACAAATGCTCTTTTTACCTCAAAGACACAGAACGCATGTATTTGTGCCTCTCCCAAGAAAGGATAATTCAATTTCAGGTAAGTAGGATAAAATCATGAGTGATACAAAATAATTGAGCCAGTCTCAAATTGACAAAATTTTACTGAAATTTATATTGTTTATTTTTTAAATTTTGTTATTACCCCTTTTTGAATTCACCAGATTCCACTTAAAATTCCATGTATGTTTTTAAACATTTTTCTATTGATTTCATTCATATATGTGTATCTGTATATAAGCTTTGGGAATTATAGTTAAAAGTTTATATACATTTTTTTATTTTTTTAAAAGAGTAAAAGCTATTGAAAGACTGATGATGTCAAGTGTCTGTGATCTCACTGCACACTTCCCACTTGGCCATGTCACTTTTTGTGAGACAACTCACAATTTGTAATTGTTCACATTTAAAATTGAATTCACTGAATTTAAGCTTGTGACAGTGGTGAAAATTATATTTAAGAAATGTCATTTCTTTTCAGGCAACTCCATGTCCAAAGGAATCCAACAAGGAGATGATAAACGATGGAGCATCATGGACAATAATCAGTACAGATAAAGCTGAATATACTTTTTACGAGGGCATGGGGCCAGTCAACAAACCTGTCACACCTGTTCCAGTTGTTAATAGCTTGAATGTAAGTCAAGAGCTGTCTTAACTGTTAATACATGATTTTGAAGGGAATACCTTTTACTATTGATAAGTCTACATTAGATGAGCTACTCTGGGGCACACAAAAGATTTATGAAGGCTAATGAACTATTCTGGGGCATGCAAGTTACAAGGGCTACGTAGAGAATTTTTTTATTGTTTAGCCCTTTCATATTTATAACAAAGCGCAAAGCAAAGGCTGTGAGCTTACCTTGATATTAAAATGGATAATATAATTGACAGTTATTCTTTTGATAAACTTATTTTTCATGGTTGATTTAGTGCTTTCATTTTTATTATCAAAAAAATAAATTTAGCAGACATTTGATATAGTACATTTGATTTCTTCTTTTGTTTTTAAAAATTAGTTTCCAAATTTTAGCTAGTTATGTCCTTTTCCTTGGGATATGAGAGGGTTAACACCTAAAGTAGTTTAGGCAGGAGTGGGTTAAAATCCTCTATAACATAAAGAAATTCATGCATCAATGAACTTATTTTAAAATTCCAAATGGAAAAAATCTATGGGAATCATTCCCCATAAGCAATGTCACTGATTTATTTTTAAAAATTGCTGTAATATTTATTTATGTTTTCATGAACAGCTTAATGGTGGAGGTGATGTGGCCATGTTAGAACTGAACGGGGAAAACTTCACAGCTGCTTTAAAAGTGTGGTTTGGGGAGGTGGAGGCAGAGACTATGTATAGGTGAGAAAGTGAATGTATTCTGGTGAATGCCATGTGTAGTCAGCAGACCTTAGTTTTCCATAAGTTAATCATGTGTACAGGACTGTCATGCACCAATGAACTCAATAGATACAGCAACAGAAATGTTAGTTGCCCTAGTGTAAAATTTAGTCAACACTTGCTGTTGTTTACTTCAGAGCTGTGTGACATAGTTTGGCGTAATTTTGTGACAAAACAATGTATTGTTTCGGCTGAACCTTGTCGATTACGGAAATGGAGAAAACTACAGATTTTATTAAAAAAACTGCAACGTCAACTGCTCCACACACAGTGGTCTACTGCAGATTTTTTTGTCTTGGAAGGGGGACAGCAAAAGCTTGGCCTGCCCTGGGTGGCACTAACCCTAGCTACGCCATTGGCTGCAGGCTGCAATAGTTTTTAGACTGTAATGTCAACGGAAAATAAAATCAGGCTCCTAGGCTTATTTCAAGACTGGCCCGCATGCGCCCCGCCACGTAAAATTTATCACAAATGAACTTATTTCTTCATTCAATTAGCAATTATTTCATTCTTGGCATAATCACACATTTTGAAAAATATATGCTGAGTCGTTACACGCCATTTCAGCATACTCGCCCCTTTTTGACTGATTTAAAAAGATATTATAATAAATAATAAAATTTAAAACAATTTCACTATTTTGCAAGGACTAAAATTAAAGGATTCTTGTAATTACAGTTAGGTAAAGGGAACTTATTTTCCACAAGCATTACGCTTAAGTATAGAATTAGGCAAAACTATATTCACGTGTATGCAAAACCGATCCTACTATTTTGAATTTATTTTTTTAAATTCTGGGAAGGTGCCTCAGCCCCCTCAAAGTTGCAATGACGGGGCCCATTTTGTAATAAAGCAATGTATGTAAGCGTCCACTACTCTTTGAAGTGACTTTTATTAGACATGCGATGCAAATAGTTATTGTTTTCATTATACTGTATTTTTGTTTATTTACTATTAAGATACTGTTTTGTACAATTTTGAGATGGTAAAGTTCTATTCTGAGATGATCTTGTACTATATTAGTGAACAACAAAATCTCTGACAAAGGCTTTCAAGACTGTACACTATTTGCATGTTCTTGTTTTAAAGAGTAGTGTAAGTCATGTTTGCTAGTTGTGCTAGTAAACCTATCCTTGATTTTTAAATGCAGTCTGCGGAAGTAGTTATTTCTTCAGAATTGGGACGTGTTATAGCAGTTTGGTTGCAGCTTTTGTTTTCAATTTGTTTTGTAATAGCAGGGATATTGCATCTTACAAGCATGTTTCTTAAGCCTCTGTCCCTAAGGAATGCAAAAGGGTTGCAGACCTGTTAACTCTTACGATTTTGGCATACAATGTACGATTTTGAGGCCTAAATATTATATATACTGTGTTTTTTTAACTATTCAGATAATGTATTGAACGATTTTGTGAGGATAGTGTACGATTTTAAGAGTTGGAAGGTAAAGAGGTCTGGGGTTGGGTTTTTTTGGGGTCTACCATGAGGATGTACCAGTTCTCAAGAACAATATGAAACTATATAGGTTTCTACTTCTATATTTTTACAGTATTTTCAGATAGATTAAAAACAATACTTTTAAAGTTTTTTGTAGACGGAACAGTCCGATTGGACTCCATTCTAATTTCTATGTGATTTACATGTAATTATTGTTTGATGAACAGGTGTGATGATAGCATGTTGTGTGTGGTACCAGATATCTCTGCATTCCGATCTGGGGGTGTGAGATGGGTTAGGCAACCATTACAGGTAAGCATTACTTGACAGAATACAAACGTTAATTTTTATTTTTTAATTTTCACAAGCTTGTTTTGTTAACCACCAGTCCAGATTCTCTGACCAACTATCCCTTGCTTGTTGCAGGTCCCTGTGTCTTTGGTGCGCTGCGATGGTGTCATCTACTCCACTGGACTCATCTTCACCTACACGCCAGAGCCTGGACCACACCAACACTGCAAGGAGGTGGACAGAATCTTAGGGCGTACCCCTGCCAGTCCAGACTCTACCTCAAACAACAATTTCAGCAGTTTATGATAGCGGTGATAGTCCTCTTGTACATTATTTAATCATGTCTGGTTTTTTTTTTTTATTTTTTTTTAATTTTTTTTTTTTATACTTCTGCTGTGTTTATTATGGGTTACCTATGGAAAAATAACACACACAATGTTTTTTTTTTTTTTTATCATGTCTTGTTTTTTTATTTTTTTTTTTTTTATTTTTTTTTTTTATACTTCTGCTGTGTTTATTATGGGTTACCTATGGAAAAATAACACACACAATGGTATCTCTTATAATAATTTCATAATATACGTTTTTAAAAAAGTAGTTAGATGACAAGAATATATCTCCTGTAGAAATTATTACCAAGTTCAAATAAGAGCTTAATATCTTGAAGACCTTGTTTTATTTATTTTTTGAAGCACAATCAAACTGTTAAGTAACTTTTTTTTCAAGGAAGTGTTTTTTAAACATAGTTTCCCTGAAACTAATTCTGATTGCAATACATAACAATGGTATTTATGCAGATGGATGTGAAGATGAGAGTACTATACGTTCATTCCATTTACTGATTCACTCAAAAACTCCAGCCATATAACAAATATGGCTCTTTTGAATATCTGTAATATTTTATCTATAAGAACTTTTGCATGAACACAAAATTTTATGTGAATTATTTGGCTAGGTTCATTGTAGTTTTTTTTCTCCAATTTTTGGATTTATATTATTATTATTTTTTAATGAAATTTAAATTGGATCAGTTGTTGTTTTTTTTTTTGTTAACTATAAAAACAGACCACTTAAAATTCTTAGCTAAACCCAAGAAATATCATTCTAAGTGCTTACAGTTTTAGGCATAATTTTTTTTATATATTTTTAAAGAAAAAAACACATTGCCATTACTTTGACACTGCCATTCATACAGCAATTGTTTATCTGCTTTGATTAGCTAGTAGGCTTGGTTGTAAGTTGCCCAACCGCCTGCTCCTTAAATGAAAGTTTCTTGGGTGCCATAAAGGGAATCCTGATATACTTGTGGGTGTTGGATGCCTTGGAGTGAATAAGTTAAACATAGATTAGTGGAGTTTGGATGCCTTGGAGGGAATTAGTTAAGACACCGATTAGCCTCAACATTAGGATTTTATTCAAGATAATTGTCTAAAACAAATTTAAAATGCTAAACATCCAGAGAAGTTGAGAATTTTTTTTTTTTAAACGGGTGATAATAATTGTATATACTGACTGTAGGTAGCAATGTTTTTTTTGCTTCTGTCTAACTGCTGATCCTTCCTCCAACTCAAGGATTCCATCTTTGTGTTTCTTTTCATTTATACATATTTTGTTACACATACCTATTACAATGCAGATATTTACATTTTCTGACCCACACTTTCCTCTTAGTAAAAAAAAAATGTATAGAAAAATTTAAAGAATTGGATTTTTTAAATTTAAGGAAAATGAATGATTTAGTTTGCTAGTAAGTTTTAATCATGCATACAAATATTTATTCATATTTTAAAGAATAGCCTTTTACAATTTATTTCCTGCTGAAAAATATTTTAACTAATGAACTGTGAAAATGGCTTATGGAAAGAAAATCTGTATTGTTACATGAGTCAAACTCTATGTTGTCACAACAAGATTCCTCAACAATTAAAAACAATTGTATTAAAGAAATAAGGGGGAAAAGAGGGGCAGGGTGTGAATATTTAACACTAAAACTTGAAAAATAAAGTAAGAAAAGCAGTGGTAGTTTTGTTTAATTACTAGTCTCCTTCACTTCATTAAATTTTTGATTAATTTACATTTTAAAAAGTTAAAATGTTTTCCTCTTGAAATCTGGAACACAGTGCACATAATTATGCCAGTTTGTCCATATTGCCTTAAAAGGTATGAGTTCATTGATTGTGATTAGATCAGTGTTAGCCTCTTTTATTTTCTCTCTTTCTTTTACACTTGAATAATTGTCTACTTTGGTAGTATTTCATTATCACATTCCACAAGCCAGCTTGTAACTTTTTGTATGAAAATATTCATATGCACTGAGACAGATATGGCCTAAATATTGTCATCCCAATGACACAGTAGATGTCACACCATAAAAGCAAACATTTTTATTTGGGAGATGTCACGTGTTAAGCCACTGAATGCCAGGTTTTTACTATTTTGTGTTGTCTATCAACACCTCCCCACCCCCCAGTTTTTTAAAGTTTTTTTGTTTCTTTCTTATCTGCATTTCATTTTTTAAAAGCATGTTTTGCATGGTAATATAAAACACACATATAGTCATTTCTACCTCATTTATAATCATTACCTCACGTATGCTTACAAAAGAAGGTAAACATTTTGACAAGTTAATAAACAGTAATGTATATTTGTTCAGTTCCAACATGTAAACTAGTTATTGAGAAGGTTTTATAGATTTATTATTATTTTTGTATTATTTTTTTTATTTTTTAGAAGAGCGGGGGCTGTCAGTGCATTGTGTTGTTCATTCAAATAAGTTGTCTCTGCTCCACTGCATTATGCAATTAATCTTATGTTGGACAGTGGTTCTCAGCCTGATTTGTATGGATGATTGGGGGTTAGGTTTAGGATTTCAGAAAAATGCAATATAAATTTAATTTACCGTATTTATTGGCGTATAACACGCCCCCGCGTATAACACGTACCTCAATTTAAGAAGGAAATTTCAGGGGAAAAAAACTAAACATTATATCGGCGTATAACACACACACATCATTTGCCCCCTATTTTCGGGGAGAAAAAGTGCGTGTTATACGCCAATAAATGCGGTAAGTTAACTGTATACAACTGTCATGAAGGATAATAAATATATGAATGTTGATTGGTTTTAGTATTGGCACAACATAAACTTGATAAAGATACTGTAATTTTCTTCAAAGCCAGCCAAAACTCCAACATGATTTTAAGGATTATGGTTAGAGGCATTTGATGTCATTGTCCATTTGATGACAATGTTGTAGTTTAAACAAAGTCATGCAGATATTTTAAATAGTCAGCCTCATTCAGAACTGTCTTCTGGTCTGGCTCAGACTTGTGTTTGACTCACCCAGTGATCCACCAGAAATTGCTGATTTCTGAAGCTGTACTGTTTTCTGAAACAGTTTGGTGTTGTTTTAGGAAATAATTTTGAGTAATCTGATGAAAGAGGAAACTGTGCGCCCCATTATTACACTGTTATCACACTAAAAGTAAAACTGCTGGGGTGAGGGAGGTGGGATCACTTTATTTAATCAGATGTGCAGTTCTTTTCATGATCTATTTCGCTGGGAAATCCAAAACTCTGGAAAGTAGAAGTTGATGTAATATTATCTGAATGAAAATCCTGTGTTTGTTCATCTACTGAGAATATAATGTGCCTAAAGACAGCTCTCATGATTTGACAGATTTTTTTTTTTTGCTGTGCTGCAATCGTCCCCGCAATTCTGCAGATAAAAATTTACATATTTTTTTTTTACCTCATTTTTTTACCATTTTGTTTGTTTTTGGCATGACCACTGCTGACATATAAAAAATTTTTGTTGTCTTCTTAGTACCAACTCAATATACCAACTATTTATGAACCCTCTACAAATGGCATACCTATATGTGTTGTTTTTATCTACTGATTTGACTTGTTGATTTTCTGATTGTTTGACTACTTGGAAAGGCCTTGTATTTCATTTCAGGCTTGATGTCATGTAAACACACCCCCCCCCCCTTTTTTTTTTTTTTTTTTTCTTTTTTCATTGTAGTACAAAATGATAAATCTGTTATGGGATAAATCATAGGAAATCAGTAAAGAGTTAACTTTGCCAAGAGAGTTAGTTTTGTGTACAGTATTACCAAGAAATGACTGATAAGAGTGTCAATGCTTACCTCATTGTGTAAATAGTGTAAGATATATAGGTCACTTAATTTGTACAAATAAGAATTGAGCACTTGATCATGTTTTCTGTTTCTTTTTGTGTAATAATTCTAATGTCTGGCCATCAAAACTGTGAGCTGTTAACTCTTTTACCATGGTAATATGCAGATATTTATTGGATCTTTCCATGTGGATGCTTTTTACAATGTATTGTAGATTGCACAGTACTGATAAGTCTTTAGTCGGAGACTTTAAGTATATGCCACTGCATGCTCAAAGCTTGAGCGACAGGGCAGTCAAGGATTGTTTTGAAATTCTTGATGTGGCTACAACATTCATGCAAACCATCTGTTTTGCACATAGATCATCTCCTTTTCTATCTATTCACAAACGTTCCTGCATCGGTGTCTCGTTCCTGCATTGGTGTCTCGTTCCTGCATCAGTGTCTCGTTCCTGGATCGGTGTCTCGCGTTCCTGCATCGGTGTCTTGTGTGTCCAATGACATCATAGAATTTTCTTTAAGTTAATCACGTCAAATGTTTGTGTATGGGCCACCATGTGTGCAACATGTGATTCTAAAGATTGAAACTGATGTCAGAAACACATTCAACTTTTATATTTCTCCATTGAAGCCCTTTTGTTTGCCTCTGTTTAAGTGGGTTAAGAATGTTTTGTAACCTTTGTAAAAGGATAATTTAAATAGAATTTGATCAGAGTTGGGGTAGATATCACAGTCATGAACCCATTGTTTTATTGACATAGGTACTCTATAATTTTTTTTTAAAAATCCTTCAGTAGAATTGCACCCATAAAAAGGTTTGTGCACCCTTGATTCGAGGGTATCTAAAAGAGTGTGGGTAAGGCAATAAATTTGAGAAAGATTGTAAAAACCTGTTGTAGAGAGACATTGTAAACCTAATCTAGCAGATGTTGGAGAATTGTAAGTTTTCTTGTATCAAGACTGCAGTTATTACTATATAAATAATAAATAGGTTGGCTAATGGGGCAAGGTTGGCCAATAAAGCAGCTGTAACAGAAATAAAAAAAAAAAAAAAATTGGGAATTTTTATAATTTTTTTTACAGATTTAGCATTTTTGGCTGTGATGTTATTTAAAGGTGAATTGTTTTATTTTTTTGATAAAGTTCATGTTTTTAATTCCCTACCAGGATTT